AGCGCACAAGAGAACAGGATTAATGCTTCCTCAAAGCTCACAACTCCAGTTTTCTTGTTGAGTCCATGTGCGTGCCATTGAACAATCACTTGATGGAAACTCTTCTTCTCTTGGAACTCTTGTTTCCTTTGATCCATTCATCAATCAATCTTATTGCTCGCTCTTTCTCTTGCTTTGTTGAAATCAATCAAGGATTTTGAGCCTTTTCCTGATTTGGGAGCAGGTCCAGCTTCCAGGATCCAGCCGACTTGATAGTGTTCCCTCCATGAGGAAAAAGTGGAATAATCTTCTCTTTCTTGCCCCCTTGCTTATGTTAGCCATCAGCAATCCCAGGGTCCCAACCTCCATTACGCCTGGGAGATTGGATAGGTTTTCTCGCCCTGTAGTGGACATTGGGACTGGGAACAGATTCAGTTGGATATACCTATGAGTTGCTTTGATGTCCGATTGTTCCTGCGCTGTGAGTGTGGCCAGCCAAGAGGCCACAGCGATGATTGTTGTGCAGGCGAATGCACTGAGAGGGTGATCTATCTGGTGTAGTATTTTCATGTTTTCTGATGAGCTGACAGCCCAATGAGTCATCTCTGCACAGCATTGTCCTTTGTGACTAAGGCTGACCGTGTAATGCTTGATTTAAGTTTGATTAATCGCCCTGGAGCATATCTCTTTGTTGACCAAGAACAAACCGGTAAACATGTTGATTGTACTCTCCCAATTAAACGGCTCTCAGTAATGTCACGCCCGACTGCGACAAACTGAGATTCAAGTCGGGAACAGATGGGACCGCTTCATCTCTTCTTTAAAACACAAACCTTTACTTCCTGCTGTTTGACAGATGAGTGTGAAGTCTGACAGCAAAGGATGTTGAGGACAGATCACTTCAGTACACTTGAGTCATGCTGGTGCTGAGAAAAGCAGGGTTGTACACAGCAAACATCGACATATTGTTGTACCAGAACATATCAAAATCATATTATTCAGGGTATCTATCTTCCATTTATATATTTGTTTATTTTTTTAAATATACTGTACATTTAAAAAAAATATATATTTGTAATAAGGAAATCAAATGACAATAGGAAAACAATGGGATAAAATGAAAGGAGTCACTGATTGTAATGATCCCGGAGATCTGGCTTAAAAACAACTTGCACACCAAACTTCTTGCTCGCAGAAGACAGACCCATTTAGCATTTCAAAACCAAAATAGTGTTCAACAGTACCTTAGTTGTTGCTTTGGCTCGAAATCATAGGAAAACATGTTTTGGTGCTAATGAGCATTCTAGTGTTGACCTCATGATTGCGTGACAGTGTTAGCTGGAGGCTATACAGAGGAATGACTGGAGTCAAACACAAATCACCTCAGAGTTTGATTGAAAATAGAATAAAAAAAAACATTATTCTTAGGTTTTGGTTTTGCAGAAATGCATGTTTAGTTAGCATGCACACTGCTATTAAAATAGGTTCATTAAAAAACACTGGATAGAAAACGTTATAAGACATTTCTATAACAGCACAATACACCATAGCATCTCATTTAAAAAGAGAAGCTGTTCAAGGCTGAAACATTATCAAATAAATAGAATGTAAATAAAATATGAATAAAATCCTTTGGGAAATGAGCTGCATTCAGAAATAAATAATTATGGCTGCCTTTATAATTAAGATAATTAATTGCAAAAAAAGTGATCAATGTGTCAGATGTTGTATTCACGGCTTGTTTCCACCTCACATGTTTAAAAGAATGTAAATAAAACTCCTTTTTGTTAAACAATTGACAAAGTGAACAGTACTATTTTTTAGATTATGAAAATGAAAAAATTCCTTTGTTAATAACAGCACCTGAGTCACCATTGTGAGGGCACATCTTCGCCTCAAATACAGCACAGGCTACTTTTAAAACACTCCCACATGCAGTGAGGGATTTCAGAACAGCTGCTCCCCGGCTATTTTTTATCACACAGAGGCGAGACATTGTGCACCTCTTCACTTGAAAATGAAATCAGCCAGATTCCAGTCGATTGGCACTAATGATACTGCTATTATATGATTAGCAGCAATAATGAAATGTGGAATTAAATCTCTTCTGTGTAAAAATACTACAATATTGTAATATTTCTTGATGATATAACACACTACTGGATATATTTATATGGAGCTTGGAAAGTGACAGTAAACTTTGGCATCCAACGTGAAATTTGGCAAATGATTGACTTGACTGAGGTCCCCTATCATGCAAAATGCACATTATGATGTCTTTTATACATAAATATGTGTCCCCGATGTGTCAGGAGACCAGCGACCTGCAGTTAGGGGAGGCAGGGGAGGCAGAGCCTCACCTGTCATACTCCAATGTAACAGAAAAACAACTAAAGAAAAACTAAATAGTAATAATAATAAAATGTCTCCACTGATCTGTGTTGTAAGTGTGATTTCTGTATGATTCAAATCGCTTTTTATAGTCAAAATCAGCAAATTGGCCGAGCTCCGCTACAACTACATGGGAGTGAGGCAGGGACGAGCTCTGCCTCACGTAAGCCCACAGTAACTGGCTGGAGCGCGGGCACTTATTTTGTGAGCGCGCTCAAGCCAGGCTCATTTGCTTACTGTGGGGTGAGGTGAGGCACAGATGAGCTCCGCCTCACCTCAGAATGCGTCACCCCACAGAAACTGGCTGGAAAGCGGGCCCTAAGCGCATGCCTGTTACCATCTCACTGTATGTCACCAATGTAATGTTTGTAGATCCCTTTATTACATTTATCCTCGCCATCCATAGTCTCTAAATAACTTATTTCACGTATATATGATATTTAGGCTCGCTGGTCTCATCATACAACGGCAATGAAAAAGCACCAGGGGAGGCAGCCATAACCTCTGCCGCACTGAAGGGGGCGCACGTGAGCCCACAGGTTCTTGTTGCTACTGTTATTCTACGCAGAGACGGTAGACGCAAACAACAAACTAGACTTTAGTTTTGAAACTAGAGGGAGATAAGGAGGACTTTTACAAAAAAGTAATAGAGATTGTTGTCCAGAAGGATAGCATGGACTTCATCTTCAAGTCAAGGTAAGACCACAATTGTAATGAACATGGGATCTTACTAAGAAAGAAGAATCCAATATTTAGATTTTGGGTATCCTTTTGTTGAACGGTCTGTTTAAAATGAATCGAAGCATCAGACTAAAAGAGCTTTTGAAAATAACCGAATATTTCGATTAAGGTCAAAATATAATATTTGTAAATCTGACTCTGAAAGAGTCAGTGCCTCACCAGCCACGAACCTCACCGCACGTCACTGCAGGAGACTCACAAAGTGTCCGAAAATACAACCATCTCTCTTTTCCTCCTTACCCACTTCTCTAAAAACGGGGGTTCAACGGAGCTGATCCAGATTTGATGCGGTCATGACGACATATCGGAAATGTGGGCTGGCTTTACACCCACAGCCCTATCAGAAACATTGGTGTATCAGAAACAATGTGCAACGTGCTTTGGAAGTAATATGGTCTGTGTTTACATTAGCAAGCATCGCTAATACTCAGAGCTAAGCTGTACTGCAGAGAGTATGTGTAAAAAAGCAGGATATAAAAAGGTACTCACCTTGTGGTAAACCCGCAAGAGAAAAAGCATTTGAGCTCCATACTGTTTCAGAAATAATCCTTGATGTGGTTTGGAACATAATATGGCGTTTAATCACGACAGCGTATAGCTGAGAATCTGGGTAGAATTCTCCTGCATGAGCTTTTAAAGCTAACCAGAATCAGCACTTCTCTAACAGGGCTGAAATAGAGGGGTATGAGGCATGGATAGAATGGGTGATCTGTTTGGTATTTTGAGAAAAACACTTCAGAGACATGTTTTTTTTTTATATCTGAGACCTATAATATATGCCTAAAAATAGTATAATAGGAGACCTTTAAGGAAACGCTGACATTAAAACAGTTCTATTGGAAAACATTTTACTGCCACTGAAACAAATATTTTTGTAATGCATTCTGGTGTGTTTATCTGTGACTATTTTCAGTTTTTTTCATGTGTCATTGCTTTTTTATTAAAAGTTTTGTTCAGGCTGACAGTTTTTTCAGTGTTAGTGGTTTTAGTTTAACCTTTGGGGGGAGAGAAGAGAGTGATTTACATGTTAATATAATCGGCATACTAATGACAGGATGGCACTCTTCTGACCCGATGTCCACCCGAAAGCCTACAACTTTTATGAAGCTTATGATACATGATTGATAGCAATTATTAAAATATCTAACCTGTAGTTTGGCTGCTGGTTCTGGACAAAATAACAGTAATACCCTGAAATGGTACGTTTTGTAATAGGCCACCAAACTAAATGCTTTAGGTGCGATTAATGCCTCTTTGACAACACAAAGGATTAGACGCTTGTATGGTAAATGCTGACTCTCAAAGAGAACCTCATCATCTGCATAGAGCAGAGACACATTTCTGAGGCCCCGAACTGACTGACTGTCTGCCTTCTGCATCCATGAACATCACCATACATCACCATATTCATGTTCTGTTTCCAACCCTTTAGCTATGGATGTCAATGATGCGATGGAAAATTAAAACATCAACATAAAAAACAAACCTTTGTAGATACAGTTGTTTATATTGAATTGTTTTAAGGTTTTGCATATTCTTTTGAGAAAATGGTAAACATAGTGTTTAAATATTGTGAATAATACAAAAAAAAAACATCCATTTAGAACATTACAGTCTCAAAATAATAATTTGCGCAGTCCTTACATTTAAAGATATGTTTCATATTTAGTTTTTTTACAAGCAGCGCTTGTCTTGTTATGGGCCATATATTCATTTCTTTCTTTAAAAAAATAAGGTATTTTAATATGTAAAATTCACATTTGTAATTGTTCAACGTCATCAAAAAAAGAACTTGATGAGACTATACTTTTTTTCCCGATATCGTGTGTTTGTAGTCGTGTGTAGTGAGTGTGTTTATATTTTGCTGTGACAGGCAGCGGCGGTGACGTCACATGACAGCCTCGCCGCCCCAACAGTGCATTCTGGGTCCAACCCAAGATGGCTGCGCCCTTGCAGTAGTGCTGAAGAAGTGCCTCTCCGGAATATTTCACGAGATTGTGTGTGAATTTAACGAAAACCCTCACACCAAATCAGCTACCGGGGTTGCTGGTTTGCAGAAGAGCACTTCACGGTCCCAGTCATCGATAAGTGTGGCCGGTGCGTGGTGGCTGTGGCAGACTGTCCGCGTGAAGATGGGCCTCATCTCCAGCCCCTTCCCATAGCGAAGCGCCGTGGGGAGAAGAGCCGCAGATTCTCCTGCAAACACGCGCCCGTCCAACTTGGCTTTGACAGCTTTGACATATTGTACAGACTGTGGACGCTGCCCTACAATTTTCTGACAAGGATTGTTTGTGCCACTGTGTCTGTCATCGTCCGGAGACGAAGAGCTTCCCCAGTTCGGGTTGAAATTCCCTCCGCACCAAGGTCTGCACGCTTCTCTGCCACTAATAGCGCCATTTCTACACATATGCTCCGTTTCACTTATGTCTCTACTCATGTTGTTTCGCTTTAAATAGCGCTGCCCGCTCCTCTCTCGCAGTTGACAGCTGAATGTGATAGTTAGAGCCAGCTTCAGGGAGAGCTATCATATTAACCGCGCTAGTGTAGCTAGCACAAAGCTAGCTGGCTGGTTTGTTTGCTAACTGTCCTGCTCGCTAGCAGACAGCCCCGTCATTAAAGTCCAGTTTAACACAGCTGTGCTGCATCAACATAACCCAACTAACTCCTCATGTGTGGCTGCATGAGCCCCACCATGACGTCATCCAGGTGCTGCCCTCTCTGTGTTATAGTAACCTGGATACTATACTGCAAAACTCTTCATTGTCATTATACAGAGTATAAATAAATAAGAAGCCCACTCCTATCCAGTGGAATGAAAATACACCACAAATACAAATCAACTTCAGCACAAAGCAGCCACATAATTTCACTAGAATAACAGTTTCTGCACTTAATTTAACTATTAGACTATATTATTAGTATTAATTGCATTAGAAAAGTGTATTCAATAGATAAGTGTATTTGATAATTAAAGTGTTATTTAAGTAAACACTTTTTGCACTTGAATAATTCTTCATATTCTTATTACAATGTTTTTTTTTTCACCTGGTTAAATCTAATTATTGCAGTAAAATATGAGAATTGATTACATTATAACAAATGTATTCATTGCACTAGTTTGAATACAGTTATTGCACTACAGAAATGTAATTATTGCAAAAAATATGCCTAAAATAAGCCAGTAATTGTCTTTCAGTGAGCTCCAGATGTGAGTGGGTTTGTTTCTGTTGTGGTTTTCACTGAAGCAGGAGATCTGCATAAGTGCATTAAACATGACTCCTAACCATCATCACATGACCTGAGGGAACGCTTTTGGCTCAGGTTCATGAACTCAGCAGCCATTGAGCTTTTTCAGATTCTTAAATGTCAAAAAAGTATTGAATTCAACACTAACTTCCACACTGGTCTTTTGTTCTTACAGCCACTTGGGGAATCCAACATTTCATTAGCAGAGAAAAAGATCTTTGCACAATTAATTTGATTATAAAGCTACTTTTTCCTTCACTGATCATGTTTTTGTTCAGTTTCACGCCACAATTGCCCAGCATGAGGTGACAGAAATCCTTTAAATCTGTGTTACTAACCAGCGCTCTCCCCTGCAGGGCCCTGATGAAAATGGACTCAGACTTGCTTCAGTCGCCGGCCGTGGGCCTCACAGAGGAGGAGGAGGCCGACATGAATGACTGGAAACTTCCCCTGGCCTTCATGAAGAAAAGGCACTCGGAGAAGATTGAGGGCTCCAAGGCGTTAGCTCAGAGCTGGAGGATGAAGGATAGGGTAAGTTTTAAGGTTAAGGATGCTTTTTGTGTCTGTAAAGTTGTCGAAGAAATACACGCATGCAGACTTGTGTAAAAGCTGCTGCATATTTATTTAAAAAATGTCTCACAAGGGATGACATGATTTGGAAATACTTTAACAGCAAATCCGGGACAGTTATTAGAATTGACGATGTATTACACAACTTACCATTTTAGATTTGGTCTTTCGGCAGACAGTCTCCACATATTGACACCACTTTTATAATAGTCGAACCTTGAATGAACACCCATGGAATAAATGGCTAACGATAGGCTTTAAACAGACTACTTCATGGTCGCATGGCTTTATGTCACCACCGCTAGGCTAGAGGTGTATTCCTCTACAATGATTGTAAAGGCCGCTACACACCAACCTGAGACCAAAGAACGCGTACCGAAGGCGTTCCGACTTTTACGTCCGCTACGTCGCCTGCGTCGGCTACGCCGCCCGCCAACGAACACACCGCAAAGACTTCAGTCGACGAGTGGCAATAACTGTCCTTACCAGCAGGCAGCGGTAGTGTGTATTCGTCATTCAAAAGAGGCGACAACCGGAAGACAGACTGCGTTATACACCGAGAGAAGAAGAACAGACTGCGTGATATAAATAAACAACAAATAGCATCTGGGTTCCATTTTCACTCTCTCTCGTCGATCGAAAACATGTAAACATAAAAAAGAAACTCTTGCGTCCGGGTGAGATGAAAATGAAAAAGATTAGCCGTCTGTGTGTGCCTTCTTAATCGTTTGTTTTGGTCCCTCACTTCCGCTTCGCTTCTCATGCACTGATTCGCTAAGCTGAACAGCCAATCAGAGTGATTTCTTTGGCCGACTTTCTTTGGCCAACTGTCACGCCGCGGGAGGTGTGAAAATGTGTGAAAATGTGCCGTAAAGAGACGACGGTGCGGGACACACCAACCTGAGTAGGGCGCCGCGAATGCCCGACTGCCTCTGACGGCCTCTGACTCCCAAAATCGGGTTGGTGTGTCAGGGGCTTTAAGGGAATAGTTAGAGAAGAGTCTTTCTTAGCATAGTCCATAAACAATGCTACTTATTAAAATTGGAATCCATTAAAGAGACAAATCAAATGCACACCTCGCACTGTGCTTTGAGAGAATATCGGTCTTTAAACAGCAGCATATCATTAGCCACCCTAGTCTTTATTATAGTGCCAATTCATTTTATTCTGCTAGAGGCAACCTATACTCGCTTTGACACACCTCAAAGCTTTGCCTCATGAATGGCCGCAGTGTGTTCAGCTCTCATAAAGCTGTCGTTTGATCCACTGCAGTGCTACCAACCCGATTGTTTCATCACCTTGCGGCACTACCATTATAATGATGGCAAATATATTATCATGCATAACCCTCAAAAGCTCTGCACCTATTGTAGAAATTCCCCCAAATGAAAATGTAAGATCCCGCTGCTGTTAGGACATCAGCAGATTACACGGTAGTGCCCGCCAGTGTTGAGCTTCAGGAAAATGTTTAATAAGGCGGCATCATTAAATGTGACTCGAGTATTGATTTAAAAGAGGTAATAGGTGCTGGCTGAAATGGGCATTTCTATCAGAGAGTCGTGCTAAATCAGCTGTGTAACATTTTTCATTGCTCTGAGCGTTTTCAGGGCCATAGACCCTCATTTGTACACTTGTAAGAAGAATGTCTCCTTTCACTTCTCTGTGCTCAGAGAGCTGTAACTAAAGAGAATTTTCTGCTTTTATGGCTTTGAATGTAACTCTGGCCTGGGGTTGAATCCATCCTTTAACATGGCTGTAATTGCAAAATGACGGATATGAAAGCCATCATTTTCATAGTAATCTGTTGTGGAATAATGATTATAGTATATACAGATAGATCAAAATACACACAAGTTATAACCTTAATGAGTGTTCAGTTGTGTTGTCATACTTTTTTAATTGTTGAAGCCAAGCAATTGAATAGAGTCCTAATACTGTCGAGTGTCTGATATGTTTAGAGGTGTGTGTGTGTGTGTGTGGTTACTTTGTAGCCATGGATGTGTAAAGAAATCTGGACCCAGTGTTGGAGGCGGGGCCCCATTTATTGCTATAAAAGTTGCTCAGTGATGCATGAGTTCTGGGCCTATAGAGAGTGTGCGCTTAGGCGCGTTCACACCGGAGTACTTTTCCCCGTACTTTTCCCCGTACTTTTCCCCGTACTTTTCGCGTTTAGTTCCGTTAGTACCCCTTATGTCGCGTTCACACCAAAAAGAGCACTTAATCCCGGGAACTTTTACCCCCATTTTTAGTGCCTGCTGAGAGATGGTACTTTCCTGGGGGAAAAAAGTGCCCCAGTTCTGATTGGCTGGGCGAATTGCAAACCACGGCCCGTGTTTTGTAGAGCCGCCATTTTATTATCCTCGCATTAGCATTATTAGCATTAGTATTCGCCCAGCGCACAAACGCAGAGAGACTAACTTATGGCAACACAAAATAAAACATGTGAGCGGTGGAGATGAGGAGGTGTCGGCGTTCTGGCGATTTACTCTGAAGGCTTCAGTAGAAGCTGCTGGGAGTCCCAGCAGCTTCTACTGTAGCCAGTCCCCAACTCCGGGGACTTCCGGCCGGGGACTCCGGGTGGCAGTATACGCCGTGAAGTTGTTTGCGGCCTGCCAGTAAACCCAAAGCAGAAGAAGACGAAGTGACGTCAGCGGCTCATTTGCGTAATCTTCCCTCAGGGAATTTATTCCGGTGTGAACGCGATCTGTACTAAATGCCCTGGGGTAATAAGTGCCGGGGCACTGAGTGCTGGCACTGAGTACGGCAAAGTACTTGGTGTGAACGCGGCTCTTGAGTTTTTCTTAAGCTCCGCCTCCAATCAGCTTCGTCACAGCGGCATCACGGTTAGTCATGGCTGAAATAAATGAATGGAAGGAAAAATAATTTGTCTGTTAGTGCATTTGCATGACCTAATCAATCAAATAAGGTCAAACTAAAGTGTTTGGCATGGGTCGTTTTTTAAGTAAAGTGAATTCTGTTTAATTACAGACGTCTCTTTCCCAATATCCGTCAATGGGAAAAAAAGATTTTTGGGCATTAGGTTGGCAGCAGATTGATGTCGCACCAGAGCGAGTGTTCTCAGTGCAAAGTCTATCACCCTTTTTTCACCAAAAAAACAACAACCTGCTTCTCTAAATTCTCCTTCCTCTTGTTATCCCCACCTATCCTATTATATACATATTTGCACACATATTTTTACATTTGATATACATTTGTTTTTATATTCGGGATTGCGGGAAACAGTATTTCGATCTCTCTGTCTGTACACACAAACTGGAAGATTGACAATAAAGTTGACTTCTTCCACCTGTGCAAAAAAAGAGGGCAAAGCCAATTTCAAGGTCAGGAAAAAACAGTTGGAGCGCTGCTTGCTCTGCTTGCTCTGCTTGTTCTGCTTGTTCTGTCGACACAAAATAAGACTTACAGCTTTGTACATTTTCCTTCCAGTATCCACAAGTGATCACATAACTGCTTTAAACTCACTGTAATCATGCGAGTTGGTATGCAAACAGTTAAGTGTGCAGCATGAGAGCGTACGAGTGTGCTGTAAATGATGTTCTGCAATCTGATATAAGGTCTTGCTATTGTACACACACTCACACACTCACACTGAGAGTTGTAAAGGCTCATTGGTCAAATTCGCGTTCACTCCCTTGTTAGGACAAATCAAGCTATTCAGTAGTGTATGTGTGTGCAGTTGCAAGTGGGCACAGCTGTTTGGTTTCCTGCTCTGTGTGCAGCATTACCATGTGTACCTTTGCTGCACCTGCCAAGTGGAATCATGATAACAGGCTTCAGATATACTGTGTGAGCACCTATCAGTGTATTACAGTAGAGTCTAATGTCAGGGCTAACTTCAGATTACAAGTGGCACCTTTAAGGAAAACAAGGTGTCTTGATCGTTAATTAAAAAGCCATTAAAATGGCCCAGAACATTGTTTCTGACAGTGAGGAATGGCCTCAGAAGGAATTAAGATCAGAGGTGGAGCTTAAATGATCATGTTTTCTTTATTAAGCTGTCAGACCTGCAGTGTGAAGGTAAGGCCTTCATCAAGACAGGGAGGGAACCATCAGGATTAGGTTTGCATTGATTTTACATTACTTTGATTTGGTCCCTGTTAAGAAACTAAAAGACGATTTAAATTCAGTTAACAGATTTGTGGTAATAAGTGTTTTTTACTTCTCAGACTCACAGTGAACGTATTATATGACTTTTCCAAGACAGCAAAGCATCATGAACCCCGACCTGCTGAGATAAGATGATTGCAGCACAGGCCTTGACCAGTATTGATCCACAGCTGGTACACTTGTTTTTCTTTTGCTGGATACACAACTGACATTGTATGTTGTCACAAAAGCTGCCCTGGTTTTCTTCAGGTTGAAGTCAGTAGCACAAAGTGTATTTTTTGTTATTGGTGATAAAATGATTAAGACTTGTTTAAGGCTGCTGTATCAGTAGCAGCAGTATTGCCCTTTATGATCACTGTTCATGGGGTGTATTGGAAAGTTTTGCAGTGTCGGGCTTGGATTGTGTTTTCCAGTTGTGTCGCTCTGAGGGAATTAAAGTGCAGGTGATCTATCAGGGAAATGCTCCTTTAAACATTTCAGTTATAAAAAGATGCAACACATGACTGTTTACTTATGATCAGCCTTTAGAAAAAACACTATTTTGAAACAAAGTTGTCGGTTAACAATCGATGGTCGATCGTTCGGAGCGGTTTTTTACCTTGATGAGAAAATGTCTTAAGTATACAGGCAAAAGTATGCAAACACTAGTTTTGACTTGTCACATCAGGAAAGAGCAAGGTGTTATTCTGAATGCTGTGTTTCATTCAAAGATGGAATCTCCCCGTTGAAATGTCTGTAATAAGCTGAATAACTTTTGTGCAGAGGACATCACTTTGAGAGATTGTTTACTGCATTTAACTACAGAAAAAACGTGACATATCTTAACATTTATT